GAGCAACCTGATCTAGTTGGAGATATCCCTGTTCCTTGCAGGGGGGTTGGACTAGATGACCTTTGAAGGTCCCTTCCAGCCCTAACCATTCTGTGATTCTATGATTCTATGACTGTCTGAACGTCAGCTATGAGAGTCGATTCACGTACGCAGTATACGCAAGACGATGGCAAAAAGACCACTCCATGCAAAAGCTGAATTCCTTGAGCTGGCTAAAATCCCCACAAATGTTAGCTTCTGTAGTGACCTGCAACAACAGTGTACAGGAAGGCTGGAAACACTGGAGACCAAAACTACCCCCACCCCAGCTCATTTTGCTATTGAGGCAAATCTTTGACTAAAGTAGCTAAGGAATGCAGCCGCTGCTTATCTCATCTGACTGTGGTAGACTTGTGCTTGCTGGTCCTGGGTCAATGCAGCTAGACTTAATTTCATAGGCATGGAGAAAACAACTCGGCTTCCCAGCGCTAGTCATTGCAGAAATAGCTTTAGTTGCTAAGAATAACAGAGAAGCAGTGTCAGAAAATAGGAAAGGAGCAGCATCGCACACTGATTTATCAGTGCAACAGCAAAAAATAGCACTCTAAATGTCACTTTGGGAGTGTTATTAAGAGGTAAGCCTGGATACTCTGCCTCCTGCTGTAAAGCACACTTACATTTGTAATTAACAGCATTAGTGCAAACAGCACTGCTTACCTGAATGAGGAACCATGGGAATAGGCTCAACAGCAACACCGTCGCAGTCCAGGACGACTGTCCCGCCTGCTCTTGCTGACCTAACCCACTTCCAGGACTGCGATCGCGGGGAAGCATTAAAGCTCTGGACAATAAGTCAAAACATTTCACCTCCCCTCCACGCCAAAGGTTAGACAGAACCACATCAGTCTAGCCATCATCTTTTAAGCCCAAACAGTTTTCAGTGATGAGGCTTAGATGGCTTTTATGCTACTCTTGCTTTATGGGCACCAAGTGAGAAAGGTCGTTTTACCAGTCCTTCCCCATTTCATATTCCAACAGCGAAGGATCTCGGTACTTGCCTGCTCCAGGAAACTGGTATTATCCTACACGGATGAGGCTTGTAAAGCTGTGCTGTTGCTGACGCAAAAGCTCTTACAATGTCAAAGAAGTGTATCCTTCTGTAAGACGTTTGTTTTCACCACAGTCATCCTCCTCCTGGAAGTATGTCCTTGCACCAGTTACCCAAAGCTTCTGGTTTTTTATTCAAACTCTTATGTCAAGAGGGCGTATAGCCGGTGTCTTCTCAAAAAAACATCATAGCTTCTCCTCAGACAAGAACTTTGATGCTTCCTCTGTCTTCTGACTCAAGAACTCAGAAACTACATATCCAGGATTAAATTCTACAATGAAATGGCCCCTTGAATGACCTGCAAGACCCT